GCCTCCGCCTGCGCCCCCCTCCCATCACATGGGGCGCCCCCTCCCCATGCTCCCCGCCCTGCGCCCCCACCCCCTTGGAGCCCCGGGACCTTGGTGCTGTTCCAGGGAGGCGCGCCGGCCCGAGCACCCCGGCCTGGGTGGGGGCGCTGAGATGGGCGGAGGAGGGCGGGGAGGACAGTAGTGGGGGCAAATGAGGGAGAGGGAGGAAAAGGGGGCAAAAGGGGGACCGGTGCGGGGGAGGCAGGGGTGGGGACCGGGGACTCGAGGGACGGGGGCCTCGGATGCGGTCGGGGAGGGGGGTCTCGAGGGTGGGAAGCAATTGGGGCTGGCTGTGCGGGGCGGGGGGATTCGCAGGGGCGCGGGGAGGATGCTGGGGATGGAGATACCGGAGGCGGCGGGGGAGGAAGGAGGGAACGGGAGGGGGTGGGAACCCACGGGTCTGGGGTCTGGGAGAGGAGGGGCGTGAGATCCCGGCGAGGAGTCCGGGGGTGGGGGCCTTGCCCGGGCTCGGCTCTGTCCGGATGCGCGCTGTGTCCGGGCGCTCCCCTCACATTGAGGAGGAGGCGGCCCCCGGGTCCCCCCACCCCATCTCTCCCCCCCCACCTTTCTACCAGCACCGCTGTTTGCTGGGGCGGTGCAAAATCCAGGACTGGATTTCTGTCCCAAATCCTGGGCTGGATTTCCTGGGACTTGGATTCACCTTCTCCAACAACCTAGACAGCCCCCTCCTTTCGCACACCCAAGATTAGGGAACGTGACTGTGGGGTGTGGCATTCGGGGACAAAGGTAAAAGCTAAGCCATTGGGTGGAGAGACATCAGAGAGAAAGCACATTAGGGATCACTACCAATTAGGGGTGGGCAGCATTAGTGGGAAAGAAGGAAACTGTGAAATCTCTTTCCCAGGACCCTTCTTCCCCCCCCCCCCCTCCGGGTTGCTGGATGTGTTCACTTTCTTGTCAGCTAGCTCCTTCTTATATCTCTACCCCCTCAATACTTTCACCAGACCAACTTGAGTCTCCTGTCCCAAAATGAACTTGCAAAGTATTCCCCAGGGAAGAGGATAAACATGGAACTTATCAGGATGGGGGTGGGGGTGGGGGGGACACACTGTGTAGGAGACTTGATGGCCCTCAAGCCTGGGCTGCTGAGTAAATCAAAGGCCTCAGCTCAAGGTGTAAGGAGAATTAGAAAAAAAAATACCTCTACGAATTGTCACCCCCCCCCATTCCAAAATGCTTCCAGTCTCCATAGCAACCGTAGCTCTAAGAGCGCCTCAGAAGCAGCGGGGATAAACGGAGAAAAGGGTTCAGTGTGAAGGGTGGATGAAAGAGCAACCAGGGGCTGACTGTTGGGGTGGCGAAGGCACCCATGCTCAAACTCGGTTACCCACCTGTGGGGGAATTTTGCTCCCCAAACACAAGAACCCCCCCCCTTCCTTGAGGCAGCTAGAGCCAGCCTCTTTTGAGTTTCCATTCCCCCTCCTGAGGTTTATGGGGCTGACTCTTTTGGCAGGTTGAAGAGGAGGTAGGTAGAGCAAATGGACAACCTTTACTGTGTGTTCTCCTACTCCCTCTAGGGTTTGGAGTTCAAGGCTGTCAGTCCTCCAGCCAGGGTGTAAAGCACTTAGCAGTTAAGCTGAAGAGGAAGAAAGGCTGAGGACCTCTTGGAAGTGGGGTGGACTGAAAGGGAGGAGGTCCCTCTGAAGCCTTGGAGACCCTTCCTCAGGATTTGGAGAGGCTCCCTGGTCTCTTGATTTGACGTCCCACCCCCCCTGACTCAGCCGAGACTATAATAAGTGCAGCCGTGGGCGGCTCTTGGAGGCAGGAGGCAGGAGCCAGCGGCATGCTCGGCCTGGTGAGGGTGATGGTGGGGGTGAGGGTGGGGGCCTGCCTCAGGATGAGATATGGGAGCCGTTCTTCGAAGTCCTGTACCCAGTCCTACCTAGGTCCTGAAAGTCAGAAGCTCCCTGTAGAATCTAGATGACACCATCCCCAGGACAGGAGACCCTTCACTATTGTTATATGAAGGAGAGAGTCAAGGACAATTGTTGGCTCAGCCAAATCTTCTATGATGTTCAGTGGGAATAGAATCTTGAGCCATGATCCTCTGATCTAGCCTCCCGAGCAGCCATTCAGGGCAGACAGGTCAAGAAAGCCCATGAGACTCTAATCTCCAATTAACCACCAAGAAGCTGGAAGCAGAGCTATGGCTCAAGTGGCAGAGCACTAGCCTGTGCAAAGAAAAAGCTCAAGTATATAGCCCAGGCTCTGTGTTCAAGCCTTAGGATTGGCATGCATGTACATGGGAGGGGGGTGGGGAGAGGATCTTCAGTTGGGACTGTAGCTCAATGGTCAAACACTTGACTAACTTGCAGGATGCCCCAGAGGTTCTGGATTTATCTGTAGCATCCCTCTCAAAACAAGGACGAAAACCTGAAGTCATCTTAATCTCCAACTCTTCTCACTCTCTAAAGTTTTGGGAAGCTCCTTTACCTTCCTAACTCTTTTTACACACCTCCATCTGTCTCAACAGGGTAAGATGGGACTTGGAGTTCCTTCCTATGGGCCACTCCTCCTAGGTCTGCCTTTCCAAACACTAAGGCTGTCAGGTGAGTAATCAGGTGTGATTCCCATCAAAGGGAGTATCAGGAGCTGAGGACACTAGACTTGGAAAGAAGAGTAGGAAGAGAGTGGCATGGGAAGGGCATCAGGTTGACCTACTATGAACTCAAGTTCCCCAAGTTCTGCTGTGGTGGCTTCTCCCATGAGATAAGTCTAACAGGAGGTAGGTATCCTGGATGGGAAGAACAGTCCTTTGACACTCCACCCTCCCACCCCAGGAAAGCAGCCAAGAATGGAGAGGTCTGAAGTAGCTGATAGGATCCAGATTTGATGAAGGGTGTACTTCTTCCAGACATCTTCATGAGCAAAGAAATCTGTGTTTAGAAGTTTTTGACTATCTCAGAGGTGAAGGAGATAGCACAAACTGGAAATGACATCCAGATGTACCAGTTCCTTAGTAGTGGAGATGGAGAGAAGCTGTTCCTGTCAGGGCCCCACCACAGGACTGAAGGCTGGGGTGGGCAGGAGGATGTGGCGGATGGTGTTGCCATGGCAGCACTTCCTCCCTGTGTTGTCATCACATACTCAAATGGCACTAAGGAGGTAGAGCGGAAGGTGTGTTTTTTTTGGGGGGGGGAGGAAAGGGAGGGAGACAGGAACAGGAGCATGAGCAGGAGAGACCAAGTCACTCCTAGGGACTACTCTGCACTTAAGATGTACAGAACATGGTGTTTCTGTTAATATGTGCAGAGCAGGGGGGAGGGGACTAACATTCTCTGTATGGTGCATTACTGTGTGTGTGTGTGTGTGTGTGTGTGTGGTTTTTCCACAGATGGTGTACAAGAGGTCACTGATCCTTAGTGGGTCCTGGGAATGAACATATTATCTAGTCCCAGAACCTTCTGCCCTAGACTGCTTCCTGTTCTGGATTCCCCAGGCAGGGACTGTGTCTACCCTGGGTCTGTCATAGCTTTGCTTCTCCATGCTCACCCACTTCTTCATTGCCAAGAAGGTCAACTCAATGGTGACCTGCATTTTGTTCTCCTGGGAGGAGGGTCAGGGCTTGGGGAAGAGGAAGAATGATACCTCCCAAATCTTTTTTCCATCCTCCCCAAATATATTCTTCCCTGGAGTCCCAGCTCCATCTTGGAAACTAGAAAGTAACTCTTTGTGAAATGAGAAGTTATAAACTGCAGAATTAGCCTTTCTACAACCCTGATCCCCAAAGCATCCAAGTTAGTGACAATACTTCTCTTACCTCGTATGCTGTCCAGTGAGGTCTGGATGCTTTCTCGAAGATCAAGGTCATCCACTCTCTCTGCCAGCTTCCTGAGGCGGCTTAGAGCTTGCTTGGTCACCTCATGTCGCCTGACTTCTGCTCTCACTGTGGCTAAAGCCAGCTGCCTCTGGGCATGCATGTTGCCTAGACCTGTCTTACCAGACTAAGAGCAACCTCTGGCCCTGAAGCCCATGGCACCACCGGCCACCAAACTCCAGAAGGCCCCTTCTGAAGAGCCCCACGATTCCCCGCCCCTGCCCGCCCTTCTGCCCTTCCGTCTGTCGGCCTCACTTCCTGACTGATGAGTTTCAAACCCACAGCCTAGGACAGCACTACCTCCTGCATCTCCCACCCCCTCTAGTGTTGGCTCATAAGACCTGCCAGCCAGCCCCTGCTATGATTTCCCAGGCAGGTGGAGGGAGAAACCTAAAGTGCTTCCCAAGCAAAGCCTCCTGTAGGAGGTGGATAATTAAGATGGGTGTTGGTTCTGGGAGAATGTGGCCAGCCAGGTCTCAGGTGCAATCCCATACTCTTGGGAATCTGCAAATTTGTGATGTGCAAACTCAACAGGAATCCACACACCCTTGGCTTGCCATCTCATAGCCATGCCTTCTAGTGGACAGTTGTACTCACCAGCTACTCTCTACACATTCCTATGAACCCTGAATATTTACATCTTGTAGTATAACTCTCCTTTAGTTAGCTACACACTGATATCATCTCCTGTCCAAAAAGCCCATGTATGGAGACAATGAGTTATAAAGGGGAAAAATAACCCATAACCAGATACATTTATGATCTGTTCAATTGCTTTTATAATAATTAACATGTGTAACATTTAATAGTTTACAACATACTTTTATATATCTATTTATTATCTTCAGGACAAACCCTAAGGGTAACATTATTTGTTCCTATTATGCAGAACAGGAAACTGAAGCTGGGCACCAGTACTCATGCTGATAATTCTACTTCAGAGTCTGATATCTGAGGATTGTTCAAGACAGCCTAGGCAGGGTAGTCCATGAGTTTCCTATCTTCTATCAATCACCAAAAAGTCAGAAGTGGAACTGTGGCTCAAGTGATAGAGCACTAGCCTGAGAAAGAAAAACAAAAATGCAGGCAAAATGCCCAGACCCTGAGCCTTTGGACCAGAAAAAAATAATAATAAAAGGAAAGAGGTTCAGAAAGGCCAGATGAAACAGGGACATATGTCTACATCTTCTAATGACAGGATTTTTATTTTTGTTTTGCCTTACTAGGATTTGAACTCAAGTCCTCACACCTGCTAACCTGGCACTCTCCAGCCTTTTGTGTTTTGCTGCTTAATTTGGAGGTGGAGTCTAGTGAATTTTTCTGCCATGGCTAGCTTCAAACCATAATCATCTAGATCTCAGCCTCCTGAATAGTTAGGATTATAGGTGTAAGCCACTGGCACTCAATTTGATTACAGGTTTGGCATTTTTTTGTTTGTGTGTCTGTGTGTGTGCATGCATGTACACATGTGTGCATGCCAGTACCAGAGCTTTAAATCAGAGCCTGGGTGCTGTCTCAGCTTTTTTGCTCAAGTCTGGTACTGTACTACTTGAGCCACAGATCCACTTCTGGCTTTTTGGTGGCTAATTGAAGATAAGAATCTCTTGGATTTGTGTGCTGGATTGGCTTCAAACCTTGATCCTCATACCTCAACCTCCTGAGTAGCTAAGATACAGGCATGAACCACTGGCACCTGGCTTTGATTACAGTTTTAATAAACACACACAGACACAAACACACACACACACAAAATGAAGCTACTTGACAACTTAATACCATGGTCCTGCCTTTTATTCAAAGCCTGAAACAAAAGAGGGTACCTTATAAATTGAAGTAGTAAATTGGAATGAAAGTAGGATGAAGAATACTTTGGCCTAATTACAACTTGAACCCTACCCTATGGCCCATCCACATTTCTGCATCTCTTCTTGATGGTGATTTATGGAGAACAGGAGAATATAACTGAATATTTGGGAATTTGGAAATAAGAGAATTGAGATTGGGGTTATTCACTGAACTCTGTAAAAGGACTGGAGCCATAATAGTTAACACTGAGTGTTGCTTGTGCCAGGCATGAAACATTCTATTTATCTATTTATTATCTCAATCCAGAAGTTGTTGGAAATGTATCATTTATCACCATTGTACAAATGAGGAAATAGGCACAATGTAAGGACCTGGCTTAAGATTGTACAACTATTATGTGGCCAACATAAGAGTTGATGCTGGACACTGGTGGCTCACATTTGTAATCCTAGCTACTCAAGAGGCTGAGATCTAGGATGATGGTTCAAAACCAGTCTGGGCAGGAAAGTCTGTGAGACTCTTATCTCCAATTAATCACCCAAAAGCCCATAGTGTAACTGTAGCTTAAGTGATAGCATTTGCCTTGAACAAAATGCTAAAGGACAGTGCCCAGGATCTAAGTAGTAGCACATAGACACAAATCAAAAGAATTCATGCAGCCTCATGCCAACGGTAAGACTATATTGCCGGGTTGGGAAGGTGGCTCAGTGGTAGAGTGCTTGCCTTGAGCTGAAGAGCTGAGGGACAGCGCCCAGGCCCAGAGTTCAGGCCCCACGACCGGACCTCCCCCCCCCCAAAAAAAGACTATATTGCATAGGCAGCGACAGAATCTCAGCATGCACAAATGTAAATTATTCTGTAGGACTGATGGTTTTTCTTTTTCTGGTCCCAGTACACATGCTTTCTCTCCCATGAAAAAGGCAGTGTGTCTAAGCACTTCGGCTATAATAAAGTTGTTGGCCAATCCTTTTGCCTCCTATGTAGAAATGTGGAGATTCCTTCTTCATCTCCTATATATTACCAAGCCAGACCTTCTTTTTTTTTTGCTTGTTTGGGTTTTTTTTAACTGTATTTTTTTTGTCTTTTCTTTTTTGGTACTGGGGATCGAACCCACGACGTTGCGCTTGCTAGGCAAGCGCTTTGCCACTGAGCTACATCCCAGCCCCAAGCCAGACCTTCTTTTGAATCTTTTTTTTTTCAAGCTCTGGATCAGACGTGTGAAGGTGCCAAGGATGTGTCGGTAGCTTTGTCACAAACAGGGATGTGCTGGGCTGAGACCATTGTTCACTACTTGGAAGTCTCGGCATTAGAAGGGAATATATAGTAAACACACAAATGAGTGAGGATTTTCTGGGTATTCTATACCCAACCCGGGGTCTCGTGGCCGGGCTCAATAGCTTAATATCTGGCTTCTTTAGGTGTTCCTTGGTGTGACGTAATGACATGAAACCATGGCGTCATCATGACGTCAGCGTGAGACTAGGGAAAGGGGGAGGGGCGCCTTCGAGGGGTGGAGCCCCTTCCCCAGGTCTCCAAGATCCCCTTTCCTCTCCCTTCACCTGTTTCTCCAGAGCCTTTTCGACGACAGGGTTCTGAACTCTGACCGCGGAAAGCTCGACTTCCAATCCCCGCGGTGAAAGTTTACTCTCCACTCCCGGGAAAATGTCTAGAAACCCTGCCTCCCGTTTTAGGTTTCATCCAATGAAGAAGTCGAAGGCGGAGCCTGGAAGCGGGCCGGTGACGTAATGCAGTTTGATTGGCATTGAGGCCATCAGTGCCGTTGATTAGCCACGAGGTTCGCCAATCCAGAGACAGGGGTGGGACGGTGCAGGCGCAGAGAATTGGTTGGTTTGGCTGGCTTCAATTTAAAGAGACAGAAGCTACCGGGGGTCCTAGAAGATTGTCCGTAATACCCTCCCCACTAAGTTCTTGGGACCATTTAGGTCCTCAGAGTTGGGGAGATGGTTTGCGGCGGTTTTGCCTGCTCGAAGAATGCGCTGTGCGCTCTCAACGTGGTGTACATGGTGAGGTTTTGAAGGTGGGGGAAGCGAGGGGTGAAAAGGCGAATGGGGAGACTCTCCAGGGGACTTCCGGTGGGGGGAGAGGTGTACAGGGGGTTCCGGCAAGATTCCGAGGAACTTCCGGCTAAGCGGGGATTCCTGGGGACTTCCTTGGAAGAGGGGAGACTTCCGGTGATTTGGGGGCTTGTCTGAGGGTGGGGAGGCATGAACTGAGGGCTGTGGTTATAAACTATCATTCCTCATTTCTGTGATCCAATTCTTCCCAAAATAGAGGTGGAGGACGACGCTAAGGGTTTTGTTCGTGTACTAAGACTAACGCCCTTTCCTCCCTACCCCCATCCGTATCCCATTCTGACCTCCTTTTGGGAAAAGTGCCCAGGGATAGCCTCCTTACTCCCCCATTCATATGCAACGTTTATCCTATTAACCCCAGTCGCTTTGTAAAGATTTTTGCTGTGTGGTGCGCTAGAATTCTTTGAGATGTGTCCTGTTTTCTGTTTCCTGTAGCTGGTGGGCTTACTGCTCATTGGAGTGGCTGCTTGGGGAAAGGGCCTGGGTCTGGTGTCCAGCATCCACATCATTGGAGGAGTCATCGCTGTGGGAGTGTTCCTTCTCCTCATCGCAGTGGCAGGATTGGTAGGAGCTGTCAACCACCACCAAGTCCTGCTGTTTTTTGTATCCTGACTTGATGTTATAGGAGCACTCCAGATCCTGGGAAAGCTTGCCTAGAAATACATTAGAATGGGTACTGGTCCTCAGGAGTCTTAGGACTGTCTCCTATTCGATAGTCCACAAAATAAAACCTAATGACTTTGCTTTCAGCTCGACAAAACTGCGCAGGTGGGGCCAGGGGGCTATTTAAAAGAACTTAAGATCCTTTTTCCTTAACTTCCTCTCAGTACATGATCATCCTTGGCTTAGTCTTCATCTTCCAGTTTGGAATCTCTTGTTCATGTCTGGCAATTAACCGAAGCAAACAGGTAGATACCCTTTGAAGTATTTTTGCTTTCTATTTTTAACTCCTTCCCCTTACTACCCCATCATACTTAGGTCCACTACTTCCAGGCTTGAACCATTTGCTTCCCCTAGGATGTATGCTAATTCTCCATGAAGATGCTCTAAAGGGAAAACCTAAGAAACATTGTGATACACTGTCACATTTCTGCGGGGTATTGACTGCCTTGCTACAATAGAAAATTCAGGCACATGCAAGGATAATCATTTATATGTCTGTATCCCTTAGACAGATGTCATCAATGCTTCTTGGTGGGTCATGAGTAACAATACACGGCATGAATTGGAAAGAAGTTTTGACTGCTGTGGCTTGTTCAACCTTACAGCCCTGTACCAACAAGAGGACACTTGCAACGCAGTGAGTTGGACGGTAGGGGACAAAAGGTATTAAGCTAGGTAAGCACAAAGACTGGCAGATACAAGTTGCATGTTATTGCCTCTTTAGCAGCTCTCTTGAATTGGAGGTGGACAGGATAGATACAAAAACCAGGGATTTAGCCTAATGAAACTTTAGCTTATAGAACACTAGTAAATAATTTTAGTGACATTATATTCCATGTTTTTAATCCTCAGATGTGCAAGAGCAGAGGCTCTCCCTGTCAGATGTGTGGAGAAAAGTTCCTGAAGCATTCAGATGAAGCCCTGAAAATCCTAGGGGGTGTTGGACTCTTCTTTAGCTTTACAGAGGTAATGCCAGTTCTCTCACATATAACCATTAGTGTTAACCCCAAAGTTCAAAATTGATTATCTCTTTTCCTTTCTTCCTGTAGATCCTTGGTGTTTGGCTAGCAATGAGATTTCGGAATCAGAAGGATCCTCGAGCCAACCCCAGTGCCTTTCTATAAGACTTTTAACCCTTCTGACTTTTCTCTTGCTCTCAGCCTTTTATTCCTCCCTTAGTGAAAGCCTAGGGTCTGGAACTCTTTTTGAGAAAAAGGCAAAGTCCTTTGCACATTCCCCCAAACTGAATGAATGGCTTAGGCTTTATGCCTTGACATATTTTGGTGGGAGCAAGGCTATAGGGGACAGAATTTAAAGTTATCTCCCGCTCCCCAGGTGGAGCTTGGGCGTGTACAGATGGGGTAGGGGTGGAGTCATTCAGTGCTGTTTCCCCTCTTCACTCTTCCATGCTAGATTCCTTAGCCTGGAACCAAGAGGAAAATCAAGGACAAGATTAGGAGGAAAAACCACCAAGATTTTTTTTTTTGAGAGGAGGTAATTTGCTGGGTATTGAACCCAGGACCTTACACATGCTAGGTTAAATGCTGTACCTCTGAGCTACATTCCCAGACCCACTAAGAACTCTTGCCATAGGCAGGTCCCTGTGTGAGGAGGTTCAGTGAATACAAAAATAAAAGCCATTTTAACTCCATATTCAAAGAAGCTGCTTGAAAGTTCCTTTCTAATTTTCACCCGTCAAGGGTCTCCACTGCCTGCCTAGGCCCTGTGTAATTTAAGGAAAGTCTTTAAGATTTTGCAGAGAACTAAGTTCCTTTTGTCAAATAGTTTGCCAAGTCTCCCAAAGGCAAGCCAATCAGAAAGACATTAAAAAAAATAGACCATATTTCTTTAGTCTCATTTGCTATATAAAAAAAGGTCTCATATCAAGATAGAGAGGGAGAAGGGAAGGGATATACCCCTTAGTGTAGAGAAATGTAAAGGAGGGGGGGATAAGCCTCAAAAGGAGGAATGTGGAGAATATCATTAAGGCAACAAAGTATTCTCTGTAAAAAGCTGGAGGAACCTCCACAGCTTCACAGGAAGGCAGAGGTCTTGGCTTCTCTGTGGGATTCTCTCCACTCAAGTGTCTAGAAGGGAGTAAATGGCAGCTCTTGACTGTTCATTCTGGATCACCTTCTTCCTTATGTAGATAAGAATGCTGCAGGGCTCGGAAGGCAGATATTCGCTTGTGTGGGTTAAAAGCCAGCATTTCCTAAAGGGAGAGGCAAAGGTCAGAAAAACATGGAAGGAAAACGACTTCTGGTCCACCCTCAACATATACAGGAACAGGCTCTACCTTCTACATTTCGCTGTGGCTAGTCCTCATAGTACCAATAAATAACTCTAGCCCCATCCACAACCAGCTCTCATGAACCACAGTGGTCTGGACTATTATGTATGATCCCATCTCTCAACCCTGTTCAGCCCAGGCCCAGCCAGTACCAGCAGCAACTGCGCTCCAGATTCTTCCATCTCTGGCACCACCGACTGTACTGGGCGAGGCCCTCTGGGAGAAAAAGCTCCTCGGGGTAGAGATACATCTCCGGGCCAGTCATCCTCCGGGGGCAGCCCAATTAGACTGTAAGGGCAGAAGTCTGATCAGGAGGGTCCTCCAGTGCCCAGCCCTATGGGTTGAGCCAGTTGCCATCCAGAGCTTAGAAGAAATAGGACTCAGAATGGTAATACTTTTCTGCCTCTTTAGAAACTTACTCAAAGATTTTGCCCAACTGGTCAGCTTCAGAGTTTCCACAGAAGAGAGGCCTAAGGTGAGAAAGGATACAAAGTAATAGTTCTTTTCAAGAAGGTAGTAGAATGGCTACTTACCCAGTGGTTTAAAACAGTAGGGTGTATAAAAGGATATTTAATTTCTAATCAAAGAATATTCTGGAGCTTCCAAGCCAATAGGTAGGGGAGGCCTGGGGCTGTAGGGGAGCATTTGCCTAGCATGCACAAGGCCCTAAGCTGAGTCCCCACCACCATAAAAATAAATACTTGGGGAGTTCAAGATGATTTAGGGTTTTGAGTCCCGTACTTTCGACGGAACATCTCTGCAAAGATACAGCCAACACTCCACATGTCCACAGGTGTTGCATAAGTAGACTGAAGAAGAACTTCAGGAGCACGGTACCAAAGTGTAACAACCTAAAGGGAAGAGGAAAAGTGCATAAGGGCCCTCCTGGTGCCCAACTTTTTAGCACAGGACTTCTCAACTGCTAGGGGAAATCACTCTCCACCTCCCACACCAGAACCCATTTTGGCTTCCATCTTTCTAACTCACCACAGGAGTAAGGGCCATCTGATAGCTGTAGATCCTGGCCAGGCCAAAGTCAGCCAGTTTGACTGTTCCACCACTGGTCACCAGAATGTTTTCTGGCTTTAGGTCTCGGTGGACGATGCAATTGGCATGAAGGAAATCTAGACCTCTTAGAAACTGGCGCATCAGATCCTGGTTTGTTAAGGGAGAGGTGCAATACTCACAGTCAAAATCCTAACAAGTTGTTCCCAATCTACCTTTCAACGCCTACCCACCCTACTTACCTTGATGGTCTCCACTGGCAAGCCTGGTGGAGGTGCCTTGTCCAGATATGTCCTTAGGTCTTGGTCTATATGTTCAAACACTAGGGTTACCTTGATTTCTCGGTCAGTTCGGGAAGTGGCACAGACGTCCATAAGCCTGGACAAAGTAAATGGTCACTTGGCTGGCTAGTTCCCTTTAATGAGGTCTCCTACATTTTCTCGGGGTCCCCTCTTCTCTCGGGACCACCCCACCACCCTTCCAGGCTTTCTCCCCCCCTTTGTTCCCCATCTCCACCTTCTTTCTCACCGAACAACATTAGGGTGCTCAAAAGCCTCCAGCCTCCTCAGTAAGGCCACTTCTCGAACTGTGCTGATAGGAAGGCCCCCTCCAGCTCCTCCTCCATTGGGGACTCGGACACTCTTGAGGGCCACAAAGTGGCCGCTGTGAGGATCACGGGCCTTGTACACCGTCCCATAGGCACCGACGCCAATTTCAGCCACGGGCTCGTATCGAGAGGTAGCCATTCTTGGAGCAGGAGTGACTCTACAATCACAAAGGATTTCTACTACCAAAACTCCCCTCCAGAGTTAGGAAGGCATGTGCCCTGCAGCAACAGAGTAACTCCCTCCGAAGGCAACACAAAGACACCGTGCCCCACAGCGCATCCCCCAACCCAAACTTCCGGGGACCCGCCCCTTAGATAACACAATGACTCCGCCACCAACCCTTCCAGCCACGTGATGCCCTAAAGAAAAAAAAAAAGCTTTTTCTTAGGGGGCCAGCGCGCTGGGCACAAAGACCACACGGTTTTGCATCAAAGATTCTATACCTCAGTCCCTAAAATCCCAGGGTGCTCCCCACCCGCACCAAGGCCCCACTTCCCGCCCGTGCGCGACCCTTCCATCACCAGCCTGGGCGGCGCACGCGTGGACAGCCGCGGGGGTCGGCGCCCGGTCCCCGGTCCTGGGAGGGGGCGCTGCTTACCGCACGCCTGGTGGGGCCCGTTATCGGAGCCCCGGGACCGGTTCCTGGGGCGCCATACACCTGAGCGGGGTCCGGGACAGCTGGACACCACCGGCCAGACCATAGACACAGGCCGCACACTAGAGAGTGCCCCTCACCCCCACCCTCACCATGTGACCAGCTGCCAAAGAGGCGCGCGGAAACCGGGAGGGCGGGGCGCACACCGGACGTTCAGGACACGTGATTTTCACCCATGCGCAAAGGAGAGGTTGGGGCAGTTCTGCGGGGAGGGGGTCCGTGAAAGGAAAAGGGGCGGAGTGTCGATGGCCACCACGTGATCTGTTGCTATCACACGTGACTGCTTGACATTGCTCTGTGGAGCAGAGGTGTGGTTACGAAGCGGGGCACGTGACTGATTGCCGTATTGGGCTGGGGGGGGGAAGAAAGGAGGGGCGGGGGACGAGGGAGGGTGGAGCCCAAAGCGCTGTCATGGCAACCTGGGCCACCCAGATCCCAACTCGGAGGGGGGGGGAGGGTAGGCTGAAGACCCAGCCCCAGCGCATCTCTCCCAGTGTCTTTATGTGGGAGAGGGCTCGGGGGTTCGGGTTGGGGATCTGAGTACCAGAGGTGATGCTGTCTTGTCGCTCCATCTTCACGGGAAAACATATTCTTGTTTGGGTCTTTGTTTTACTCATTCATTCAACAAAATTTTACCGAGAGGTTTCAGTGTGTGTGTGATGTTTTTGTTTTGGTGTCTCAGTCACCAGGCTTTCGAAGTAGTAATAAAGCTATATAATGTAGCCTTACAGTATGGTCCTTTAGGGAGCACACAATGCCTATCTAAGGGCAAAACCAGGACTAAACGATGGATGGAATGGGCATTAATACAGTAATTCAAAAGGAAGAGTGGCAAAATAATGCTCTCCCTTCTTCCCAACTACCAGATTCCTTGGTACTGCTAAAGCAGATACTGAGAAATTATTGATGAACAGCGACAGGAATATATGACCTCGAAGATTTTTCCAACACCAGAAATTCTGTGATTCTGTGGTGTGTGTATGCGTGCAGTCATATATGGGCAGATATAGAGATGAGCATGTGCAAGGAAGTCAACTCCACTTTAGACACACTGCATGAGAATGTCTTGTGCTTTTCTGAAAACCCATGACTCTTCTTTGCTGTCCCATTTCTCTTTTTCTCCATTGCTTTGTTAGTGCTTAGTCCTGCCTAGCACAGTTTTTTTCCCAAATAAATTTAGCTCACAAAAACCTAGGTAGAAAGGCATCCATTTCTATGGCTTGTCGTATTGGTTCCAACTTCTTTATTATCTGTCCCAACCCGTTAGAGATATGGAAGGGATCACTCTTCCATTTGCAGACAATTGTCTAAAAATCTGAAACCATTCAAAAAACTTTTCCCATTTAAAACTTGAGCCTCAGGCCTTGAGTATGCTAAGCCTTCCACTCTAAAATATAAAACTTAATTCCCAGACTCTAAACTATGAAAACATTTTATTATCGTTTGTCACTCCATTCACCTTCATTTCTACTCTTAATTAGCTAGCTGAGAATATAGGAGTTCAGACTTGAAGATTTACACAAACCATCAGTCAGGGAAAAATGGAAGACATATTGGTACTGATTCCCACCCACCCCACTTTTTTTTTTCTTTCTCATTTTGATGCTAGTAGTTTGAAGCTCTTGGAGACTAGTTTGAAAAAAAAAAAACCAGGTCTGCCCTGGCTAAGGGACTGCAGAGGTGTTTCACTAGCTCCTTTGCTAGGGCTGAAAGCTGCCTGAGCTTGTCAAACTCCCTTCCTACACTAGTAGTCTCCACTCCAGCTTCACCTTCACCTTCCACAGAAGCCCACTGCAGCTCACTGTCAGTCCAACAGGAGCCATCCTCTTTGTCTGCTTGAGTCCCAGCCCTCCCCCCCTTTTTTTTCTGAATCATTCATTTGTCCGTCCAAAATACTCCCAGTGCTTCATGAAAACATTGTTCTCTCACTTTCTATTGAAGAGCCTGAATTTGGCAGCCGGTCCCTGGCTCTGCCTCTCCTCCCCCTTGTTAATTACTCTTTTACTAATTAATTCTTTCCCAACGTCTAAGACCCAGTGGGCTTCCCTAGAATCCCTTTTCCCACAGCTTTGAATTGTGGATGACAGGGAAGATGTTAAGTGTAAGAAAGAAAGAAAAAAAAATGTGATGGGTGGGGTAGCAGTGGCTCTCAAGGCCCCTATTAAAAGACAAAGAGCTGCAGGTATGGGGTGGTGGGGGGGAGTGGGTCGCTTCAGAGTAGTAGAGGCGAGGGCAGGAGCAGGCCCGGAAAGCCACTCCCAGCCCCTCAGCACGCCCATTCCCCTTACCTTCCACACATTTAACATCAAACGCTGTTTCTCACACCACCGGCTTCCATTCCTGACACACTCACCACTCTTCCAGTCCCACACACGGCACATTTTACAGTCTTTTGTGTAGAAATGTTTCCTGGTTGAGTGCATCCCCCACAACTCGGACTATTGTACAGCCTCTGCACAGCCTCATTTTACCCAAGCCCCTCTCCCCCCCACCCCCCCCGCACACCTGCATCCTTTGACCACTCACCTTTCAGCCTCCTCCCCGTACCCCCACCCCATACACACACCTATTCTTCTGCCCGACTGCACACTCCCCTCCCTCGGCCACTCCTCCCCCTCCACCCTCCCGGAGCTCGCGCACTCGCCCCGCCCCTAGGGACACCTGCTCGTGCCGGGCAGGGCGGGGATGCGCAGCCGCGGCCCCTTCTCCTCCTC